TGATGGAGAGGTTGCGTTATTTTAACAAATCTGGGTCAGTTTACGTCTAATGATTCACTTACATGTTCAGGCCTTGGCCCATATTCATCCTCTACACAAACCTCAAAGTTGACCATCGTCTACAGGATTATTTGTTTGTCTGGTTTCCAGCATAACGGGTCATGAGTTCAACCTTGATCTCAGATTAGAGGAGACTAGTGGCCCATAGTCATCATGTATGTTTTAATTAATTAATTAGTTTACCAAATCTTTGTTGGGTTTGTTCTAATAAAACTATTCTAAACAAACAGTTAGAATAGTGTGCTTACGGCTGTGATAGAAGCTACGATGTAATTAGTTCTCTTTATGCTAAGCTAAACTTCATTCATTCATGTTTGTGATACTTTGAATGTTACCCTTAACTTAGCTAATCCCCTTAGCAGCAAAGCAAATCTTTAGCACGTCATGTAGCACAGCAGGTTATGAAGTGCCAGGATCGGCGATTAGCGCAATGTTCCCTTAAATGGGATCAGGACTGCTATAAAAACACAACATTATCCCATCAGAACCCACCCTCCTGTGAACACAACTAGTAATTGTAGCTGTCAATCAACCCCGGGGGCGGGGTTTAAGGTTTAAAGGTTCCCAATACAGACACTGTTTATTCTGAAGTTAAATCAGTGACACAGGGAGGACATGGAATCCTCAACAGAACTCAGGTCTAGCGTGTGTGTGTGTCTCTGTGTGTGTTTGTTTGAGAGAGAGAGAGAGAGAGCACAGATCAATATTATTTATTTTTTCTATTTTAAACTTTAACCTGCAGCAGCTGAGGTCGACCTAATCTGTTTTTCTCCTACACTCCTGTAATCTGCTCCTGTCTGCACATACACACACACACACACAATCTCTCAATCACACACACATACACATACAACCACACATAGTGTGACTTTCTGTGCGTTTCAAGTTGAGTAAAATCCACTGATTAAAGTGCTCTTCAAAGGCAAAACTTGGTTCAATAAATTAATAAAATATCCAACTTAGAGTTAAAGAAAAGTAATCTGCTGTTGTTCTTACCTTTGCAGAGCACCAGGACTCCCAGCAGAACCAGCAGACCGTGAAGCAGCATCTTTCCTATGTCCACAAGAGTTAAAGACTGAAGGGAGAAGAGGAGAAGGAGGTGACTGGGGGAGGGAGGAGGAAGGGACTGTAATGAGATAGAGGGAGGAGGAGGAGGAGGAGGAGGAAGGCTGTTCTGCAACAGGTTCCAAATTCTCTTGTTTAACCTACAACAATTAACCTACAACAAAAAAACAACAATTTTACCTGAGCATCGGTGTGATTTAGGCTGTGTCACCATGGCAACAGCCTCCATTCATTTACTCTAACCTACATCCAGAAGACTGATACCAAGAAACAACAGGGATAAAACTCATCTTTAAACATACTAAACAGAAATATTTTACCATTTCTGACCAGAAACACAGTTAATCCTAAAACTCAGAGTCAGAAACATGAAGTGGTGTTTGAAACATCCTGGATGCAGCTGCCCCTCATCACTGCTTCGTTCAGTTAAAGCCTGATGGTAGGTTATCAGAAGCTGGAGCCCCAAGAGCGAGGGTTATATTAATAGCTCCACAGTCTGTGACCACAGTCGTCTGTGCCCAGCCCATTTAAGCCTGTATTCACTGTGATTCTGTAGAAACACATATAATTTAATGTCAGCAGACCCTGAAAACGCCTCACGGGCACAGAGGCATAAAAATAAGAGAAAGGACAAAACAGAGTCAGACTCAGTTTTCTGCAGCATCTGGAATCACGGAGCTGAATCTCTAGCTATAACTTTACTTAATCTCAGAATTAGTTAGCAGCTGCTAGCAGCACTTTCAGGAGGTGATGAGGAGCGTCGACGGCCGCCCTTGACCATTTGCCCCAATTTTTGTCCTGAATGTTAACTGATCTGCTAACGGCCTTTGAATGAAAAGATGTCAAAGACACAGCTTGGTAAATACCACATGTATTTATTTTTTGTGTACATTTATTCCATAGCACCATACTGTATGTACAACAGGTATGAGAGTGAAAGGAGGAAGTTATGAAGTCCATGATCACAGGCTATAGGCAAACATGGTTAAAGGCTAGGGTTGATAAATAGAGAGAACCATTTTGTTGTGCCACCCTCAAGTTCTCACTGACCACATCTGTAAAGAATTTTATGCAGGCGCCACTGGCAGCAGGATCTGAAATCAGTAGTAGCACAAAATGTTCCTGAAATATCTGAAATTATACCATAAATCCTCACAACAGGCTTGTTTTTATATATATATATATAAAACCTCTTCCAGGTAACAGTAAAAAAAGTGAAAATGACATGCATCTGTACATTACAGACAACCCAACACATATATAATATTGTAGTGGCTCAGAGCCTGAACATAGGTGTCTGTTTAAACACAGTGTTAAAACAAGAAGCTAAAGGTCAGTTTTAAGGCTGCAGCTGCAGGTTGAGCAGCAGGTCAGGGGGTCAGGATGTTCTAAAACCAGAGTCCTTGGCTAAAGCTGCAGGGATAATCACAGCTCAACTGTTGAACGTGAACACATTCATGTGTCTCCTCCACTGCAAAGTTAGTCTAATGGGATCTGACATATGTCTGTTGTCTGACACTGCAGGTTAGAGTTTCCATCATGAGCAGCCAAGCTGCAGCCAGACACTTGGAGAGCAGTCAATGAAAACCTGCTGCCAGTGACTGAAGGGACGGAAAAGAAAACATCTGATTTTAGTAAGGTAAAAAGTTCAACTCATAGAGTTTATATCCATGTGAAGTCACAGAGATTCTCTTTAAGGTGGTCAACCATAAAAGTTTCACCACCATAAATCCAAAACCAAATATGCTCCTGCCTCCACCGCTAAGTTAAAATGTGTTACTTTGAAAGTCATTGTTCGACTCAGTGACCAAAAATGACCACAAGAGGTCAGTATTTCTGTTTGGGCTGAAAGAAATGCTGTTATTTCTCTGTATTTTGAATGATAGTTGGTGCACATTATTTTTCTGCTACAGCTGCCTAACAGATGAGGATTGTTAGATTTCAATACAGGAACTTTTTTAAATCCTAGATCCAAAGGTCAGGAGAAAAAATACTAATGTTAGGTCACAGGGCCTGCCTTATGTGGTCAGTCTATGTCTCTGAGGTAAATTTTATAACTAGTCCCAAACTAATACTACATAGTACACAATGAGTATATGTATATGTTTTTAAATAGACATAGAGTATTTGAACACTTTAAAGTCCTTACAGGGAATAAGGTTTTTGTTCCGCCCCGCATTTAACGTAACTTTGCTTGGCAAAGTAGACACGTCTCTTCCGCGATCTTTATTAAATACTGAAAAGTACAGGACAACACAAGTAACATAAGAGAGAAACCACTAAAGAAAATTATTAAATTTATTTTTTTTAATTCTACTTTATTATTCATAAAAACATAATTTCGTCATTTCAAACGAGACTTTTTTTTTTACATTTAATTCATTTCGATATAATCGTATGTTAAAAACCGTTTTAAATCAAACTACATATAGTGTTATATCGACTTCATAACAATGTTAGAACCGTGATATATTGCAAGTTTCTTAAAACAGTCAACATATTTTATTTTAGTTTGGTATTTAACTGACTGTAATCTGATCGATCGTGGAGACGCACTCGATTTCCTTTGCCTAGTCATTGATGATTCTTTATTCCACTTTTAGTTTCTGAACATGCGCAGACTAACTATCCAAAATGGCGTCCACGCAGACTACAAACCCATCTCAGCTACTCCCGCTCGGTTTGTGACGATTTGCGACATTTTATCGAAAATGTTTTCGTTCATGTTTACTTGTTATGTGTTATTGTTTAATGTGTCGTAGCGTTGACGTTGTAGCTAAATTATGAAACTAGATAAATATGATGGAAGCAGTTTTAATTCGCCCCTCAAAAGTTTCTTGTGTTTTACCATGTGAAATTGTGTTTTCTATCCTGTTTGATTTGACAAAAGGCCCAAACAATTTTCGATATTTAACTCGGTCAGTACATAATGTGTCAAATTTAGCTCCATCGTGAGGATGAACGAGTTTAAGATCATTTATCCTCACGATGTCGATATAGCTACATTTCAGAAGCTACTCCTGGCATTGCACAGCAAACTTCTGGATACAGATTTAATATTTGACGTCTTTGGTAACTTTAGCCGACAATTTACCTTCTTTTCAGAGCTTGTGGATAAATGTATCGGCTCCCGGATTCACATTGTCATGAAAACCGACAAAGAAATCGTCGGGACTCTGCTGGGATTTGATGACTTTGTCAGTATCCTTTCACTTCGCTGTCTTAAAAAGTTCACGATAACAAGTCCAATAATTAAGACTCAACAACTGCAACGATACATAAAGTCTTTGTTTTTTAACAAATCAATAAATTGACAATTTCAAGTTATTGCAAAAAAAATTCTAAACCCAGCATCTCAGATATGGTTTTGGAAGATGTGACAGAGTTGTAAGTGTACTTTTTATTTGCTGTTAATCTTCTCCTGTGAAAGCTTCTGTGGAACAAATGAATTGTAAAAATAAATAATTCTTTCAGTGAAATCACACCAGAGGGGAGAAGGATAACCAAGCTGGACCAGATCCTCCTCAATGGCAACAACATCACAATGGTAGAATACACATGCATATTATTTGAAAAATTCTTATTCCATAATATTGAAATGATTGTTTCTGTGCGTTTGAGTGAAACTAAACAGACATTGCTTTAATTGTGTATTTTACAGCTAATTCCTGGTGGGGAAGGTCCTGAAGTCTGAGTCACTGAAGCACTGTGTTGCTCTTGTTTTTTTCCTTTTTTTTAGTTGATTACATTACTATTGTTGTTCAAGTTCCTCATCTTGTTATTTAGAAGGATGTTTTTTTTTTGGAAAGTTGTTTTTGTTCATTTTTAATTAAGCAATGTGGATTTTTCTAAGGTATCTTGTAAAGAAACTGTTTTGTTATAAACAAACCATTGAATCTCACACCGTCTATGTTTGTGTTTTTATTACATTTTGATGTCCAAAACACTTAAACATTAGTGCAAAGAAGATAAAAGATAGTGGTTGAACATTTTTAGCACTTCTTTCGTTTTATGTTTATTGATTTTATGAATCCTCAGTACATGGAAGGCTTCTCTTCTCCTTTGGGATTGGTCACTTTATCTAGGTTCTTGCTGATGATGTCATAAAGCTCAGCCTAGGGGAAAGACAAGAAAATAAATGAATGTTTTTTGTTATTGCAGTATTTTAATTATGTTCCAGGTAAAATGTGGAGAGTGACTCACATAGAAGCCACGTATGTCGAGGACTATCACTTTGATCTCGTTATAGATGGCATCGTCTTTGTCGTGGACCAATGAGCGATAATCCATCTGCAGGGACGATAAAGAAGGTAAGATTAATGACCAGTCTCCCACATCAAGAACATTCTTTTCTCCTATATCATTGTCTTTTCCACAACCTGTAATTGTCATGTCCCAGATGCAAAAAGACATAGGAGTTGTATTTGCTACAGAAGCTTAGTTGGATATTTACAGTCACATTTTCTCAGCTCTCATTAATTGCCAAAATGAATTGTAATTTACATATGACACAGTCAAAATCTCACCACATGAGTTTCTTTAGAAGCTTTAGCCACTGCGTCTCCTCTCTCTGAGAAGTACCTGCAGATATAAAATTATTATATTTAACTAAAATGGTGACAAATTAGTTTAGTATGAATCTGAGGGAGTCATGATGTTTGACTTACTTGTTCAGGTTGGTCTGAAAACCATCAACTTTGGTTTTAACTGCAGTGATTCTTTCCAAAATTTTCTCCTGTGGGGAAAAAAATGAAAATGATGACAGCAGCTTGTAGAACAAATTACTGCCAGTCATTATACATATGTATTATACATATACGTATGTGATGACCAACTCACGACCATAGTTAAAATGAAAGTAAGACTATTACATTAAGAATACGACTGACTTAAATAAAACCACACCTGGATGGCGACTCCAAAGTCATTTCCATCTTCTATTTTGGGGATAAGAAGCTGAATCCAGCAGGAAACCTGAGTGGAAGGAAACGTTTATTTAATTGATATTAATGTGAACTATGGTGTAAAACAAATGAAAGGTTTCAAATGTTTCCTCTTCCACAACATGATTTTGAGTTTGACTTACATTAATGATGGTTTCTCTCAGAGCCACAATCTCAGGTTTGACTTGTTCCATAAGCAGCATAATTTTCTCATTCCCTTTGATGAAGCCACATTTTGGAGCTGCAGAAAGATAGCCTTAGTGTACGTAGTGTGGTGATGGGCTGATACCACAGGCTAAAAAAATACACTTTACCTTTTTTCTTCTTCTTCTTCTCATCTTCATTATCATCCGTTTCCATTTCCTGTTGGACCAGAATTTAACACTATATTTGTTCATGTTTGTGTCTGATAACAAGAAAACATTTATGAACCTTTCTTTAGGTTTGCAAAGACTGAGTACATGGTGAGAGGTTTTAAAAATATATCTTTAATCCATCTACTGTTAAAGTCTGGGTAGTTCATGTACCTCATCTTCTGGAGAAGGAGGATCTGGAATAGGGATGTCAAGTGGAGCCCGCAGTGAGGATGTGTCTGTTATACTGAAGGCATCGTCCTAGAAAAAACAAATTTATTTAAAAAAAAAAACAGTTTAATTGTTTTAAGATAATTTAAATCACAAACAGTAAACGCTGCCCTTTATCTAAAATCAAAAACTCCCTGACTTTGAGCATGGTGTCCAGGTGTGTGATCTTCTGTGGGATATAGCTGGAGAACAGATTCTCTGCCTGGAAACAGACAGATATATCATTTAGGAGGTCAAATGTAAAGTGCCATAAGTTTGTAATATGTTTATAATAATTATCTGTACCGACCTCATGATACAGGGACTGACGGTAGTTTTCCACCTGTAAAGATAAAAAACTGATTAATATCATTGCATATTATAAACACAAATTCAGAAATTAAATATAATAAAAGTATGATTATTAAACTTCCATAAAATCAAGGATTTAAGAATGTTTCCTAAGTTTTTCTGATAACTAATAATTCTAATAATAATTTTTCATGTTAATTTTTCAGACATTTGCAGTATAAAATCAACCACTAGAGGGCCTATAAGCCCCAAATAATGTGACCACTGCACCAGGAAACAAACCTTATCTGTTGTGATGATTAAGCGATAATATAAATAAACAGGTTTGCACTAAATTTTAAGGCCGGTGCAAAATATATTTATTATGTATATATCGGTTCAAATGTCAAACCGTGGAGTCATGTTTATAGTCATACTTTTGCCTTCACTTTCGTTTCCTCATCGGGACTTTCCGCTGTTAAAACGTAAAATATTGTGTTTCACTGTATCACAAACCACAGCTGAATCAACGCAGGCTACAATATTTTCTAATATGTATTTGTATATGTATATATGACACCGTTCGAATTGTCCTGTATTTAAATGTACCAACCTTTAGAGCAGCGGCGCTGCTGATCTTCAGCGATGACGTTTTGGACATGACGAAGCTTTAAAAGTGTGCGAATTCAAATTCCCAACTAAATTCAAATTAAAGAGTATTACAAAGTCCGAGATTTTTGGTAAAAACGACAATATTCCCTGCTGCAGCTGCTGCAGGAGAAACGGACGAAGTCTGTTACCACCTTTATTTCCTCCTTTATTCCTTTTTTTTTATTTTCGGTTTGATTATTCAGTTGACGCCGCCCACTAACACTGAAACACACCCCTGAATCACAACGGATTAGACCCCGTTGTTGTTTTAAGTTTGAGGTCCATCCCCTGTGGATACACTTCTTACGTTTACTGACCCACTGGCAACAGATTCAGCAAAACACGTGCTTTACATTAACGCTTCCGTATTTGACACAGACCTTAACCTCCGCAAACAGTGACTCCATGTATGCAAACAAATGATTAGCTGTGGATACCACGGGGTGGAAGGGAGAATTCGTTAATCATGTTCTTCAAAACTAAACCAATTTGAGAAAGAAGCATTATTTCTATATTTATATTTTTCTTTCTTTAACAAATGATGCATCAAACGTGCAAAGTGTTCCTGTTTAGTGTGGGGGCAAAGTGGTGCAATTATATTGTAGATATTTAATAAACAATAATATTATGAAAAGAATCACTTTTGTGTCGTTACGTCTTTTATTTTGTAGGATGTCTGCTTTTGTTGTGAAAACCAGAGAGGAAGTGGACAACAGAGACTGAAGTTCCGCGTTTGAAGCTGAAACGCAAAAGCTACAAAACTGACCCGGGTGAGACTTTAACAGAATAATAACACACATTTTAAGCATAGACTTAATTTAATATTTTTCTGTGTCGCACAGACTTCAGTGACGGAGGGGAAACTTTTTTCAAATACGACAATACCGACGTCAACTTTGTTGACTCGACGTGTATTGGATATTAGAAAGTTTCGATTTCATCTCAAGCGAAATGAGGTTTTCTGGTCTGGATTTTGAACATACAAATATTTAAAACACATTAAGGACCTACAAGTACTCGGGTAACCAGGGGCAGTGTCGAGGTCTGTTTAATAGTTTATTTTTCAGGTTTGCAGCAGTTTATTGCTATCATTGTGCAGTGAGTCTATTATTAATCTGGACTTTCTCCACCGCAGCAGGGGCGGGGGCAGATACTTATTAAGCTAAAGTAGAGAACAGGGCATCAATATAATATGTATTTTTTTGTATTGTAATTGGAATTCATTGACAACAATTTAAAGTTCAAGCCCTTCAAAATATATATTGACATAACATTTTAAAGTTCAAGCCCTTCAAAATATATAATAATACAGAATATACTGTTTTTTTTGTCAAAATGACAAAAGATGTTTTGTTACATAATTACTAGTAATTGACTAAACTCCATGTGTTTCTTTTTAATCAAATTTAAAAGTAAAGGAATTACATCTGGACTGAACGGTCTCCTTCTTCTGTCTACAGCCATGAGCTGCAGCTCTCCATCTGTGCAGATGGATGAGGTCAAGAGGAGAGCACAGTCCATCCTGTCTTCTTCAGGTGTGGCCCAGGATGTAAAGTCTGATGTCCAGACCATCGCTAACATGGATGTGCCGCTGTCAGAGAAGTACTGCCACCTGGCAGTGGAAGCCATGTTGAAGGAGAATACGACTAGCAGCAGTAGACAGGAGGTCAGGGCTGCTCCTCTCTCGGCTCACCTTCACTTTTAAGTTCATACATAATTTTGAAACATTTGTCTTTGTCTCTCTGGTAGGTCTGGGAGTCTCTTAGTCGGCTCGTCAAGGCCTTGAGTATCCTGGAGAAGTATGGCTGTAACCTGGCCTGCCCTGCCAGGCCCAAATACTGGAGGAGTGTCAAACACAACAACCCAGTCTTCAGAACCACAGTGGATGCAGTGAAGGTGAGTTTGAGTCTGAAACAGACTTTTTTTTAGCAATTTTCTACTACGTTACTGTTTGTTCACTGTTTTTTGTGTGTGGTTTTTGTGTTGGAAAACAGACTTTTTTTTTTGCAATTTTTTACTACATTACTGTTTGTTGTTTTTTGTGTGTGGTTTTTGTGTTGGAAATATTTGCTTTTATTATAAACCATTTATACTCATCAGAAACCTGGTCTAATTTTAGCTAATGCTCACGTTTAACTCACATTTTGTAACAAGTGAAGTCTTGTGGTTAATTTTGTTTTCACCCGGGGTTTTTCCATCTCAGGGAGGACGCAAAGTCCTCTTTCTCTACGGTTACACCAACCAGCAGGTCGACGGCCTTAGTTTTCCTGATGAAGTCAGTGAACCTGACACTGACAAAGTGGCAGCAGTTACACTAGAGGTCATGACCTTACGCACAGAGGTGGATATGTTAGTTAAGGTTGGTCTTTTAGCTCTCATCGTAACTTCTTCCTTCCTGTCACAAAGCATCAGAATCCATTCATCATAAAGAAAATCCTTTTGTTTTTGTCTAGGGAACTCATCCTCACGTAGAAAGCTTCAAAGATGTCGTCCCATTCATCTCACAGCAGCAGGTCTGTTTTTTATTTTCTTCCACCATGTTCTTCCTTAGTTACTCTCTTTATTATGAGTTGTATTTACTTGAGAACAGGACTAAAAGCAAAGTTACTTCATCTGAAATGGCAGCTTGTGTTTGACCACTTCATAATGGATGTTCATTGGTGCCCTTGTTTCCTCCACCCTTTATATATTTGCCTGTGATGCTGTTTGTCTTTAGAATGTGATGGGGAGCGACCAGGTTGTTGTCCCATCGTCAGACCAGCAGAATGAAACCAAACTCTCTCCGCCTAAACCGGCTCCTCGCACCCATGTAGCTCCACCCCCAAAGCCAGCAGCAGGTGAGGCTGATACAGATGTTGTTTTAATGTATGTAATATCAACAAAAAGCACAATGTCATCTGTAGAGTCGCAGCTCACTGCCTCTTATTGTCCTGTGTTTGCAGACTCTGAGTGTAATTTGTGCGGCAGCTCGTCTTCACTAGTTTGTCCCTCCTGCAATGGTCAGTGTTTCTGTGATGCCTGTGACGGGCTTTTTCACCGACACCCCAGCAGAGCCAGTCACAAGAGGGACAAAATCCAGAAGATCAGTGAGGGTGAGTCAAAAAGACCAGGAAAAAAATCCCAAAATTACTGCTGCTATATATGTATGTATATATGTTATCCTTTCAAGAGACCTGTGGCCTCTGTGGTGTCTCTGTCGTCCAGTCTCACTGCTCCACCTGTGTCCAAAGACTGTGTGTGAACTGTGACAAAATCTTTCACTCCCACCCCGACCGTAAAGGACACAACAGAATTTTCCTGACACTGGCCAAAACCTCTAGGTGAGCAAAAAACCCAGCAAAGCAAAAACCTTGATATGAATTAGCATTGATGTAAAAACTACGAGTTTATTTTAATTAATTAACGGTCTGTTGTCTGTCAGTCCTTCTCTGTCCACTTGGGAGTGCTCTCACTGCACCACAGTCAATGAGATGCGGGCCGTCCTCTGTTCCACCTGCGATCGGCCCCGACTCGCCACTGCCGCTTCCAACATTCAAGAAAACTCTGTTTCACTTCCTGCATCAACAAACACAGGTTTTTAGTCAGAGAAATATTTTTCCTGATAATATGAAATGTCTTTTGTTATGAAATGTGCTGCTCCAGGACTTAGTGTTGTTGTCCACTTCCTCAGAGTGGGAGTGTAAGAGCTGCACTATGGTCAATCAAGGCAGCAGCATTCTCTGTGAGGTGTGTGAGCGCCCTCGTCTGGCCACCCGACCACTCGTTCCCCCGAAGGTGTTCAGCCCAGGATCTCGCGCTGATACAACAAAGGTATTAATTATTATTTATTATTTTTAATTACTAAAAGTCTAACTAATGGTTACTTTTTAACCATTGATGATGGCTGAATGAAGGAATTAAGAAAAGTTTTTTTCATTTTTTGAGGTGATCTTTTTGATTTAATCAGTTTGTCCTACGTGCCTTGTTTGATGTCGTTTTTTGGCGCATTTGTTTTTCTTCTTCTCAGTGGACCTGTCAGTTCTGCACCTTTGTCAACGCTAAGACCACAACAGCATGTGAAATATGCAACCTGCCGTGTAAAGAACCTCCTGCAGACGCCGTCCTCCAGTCCCTTCAACAAACACCTCCAGTCTCCAAAGACAAACCTCAGCCGGCTGTGAAGCCTCCACAGCTGAAGCTCAGAGAGGACGTGGAGCTGCACAGGCAGAAGGTGATGAGGGAGGATGGAATGGACCTCATTCGTCGCATACGGGTACGTCTAAAAAGAATATTTATCTCCCACAGCTATTTCCCCACCACGGTTTACACACATCTATACCATCATTTGTTCTCAGGAAGCAGAAACACGTGGCATCAGTCCGGAGGAAATTTACGCAGCCCTTTGCGTTTGCCGCAGCAGCGACGTTGACCCCTGTGATTGGCTCTCATCGGAGCTACCCCACCTGCTGGATGAAATCTGCGCCATTGCTGCCTCTGTCCAGCTAAGCTCTAAAGCAGGGGATTCTGGGATATACCCAGTTGAGGCTGAGGGAGTGTCCACAGGTGAAGGTCTGAAACTGTCCAGGGCTGAGGCCAAACAGGCCTGGTTAGCAGCAGGTGGAGACACAGAGAGAGCAGTGACACAGCTGCTGAGAAACCGTCAGGCCAAGGTACCCAAAATAATCCTGTGATATAATCCAGATTAGAGTAAAAACAAAACAACCACAGAAAACACAAAGGTTTTGATCTTTATTAGTACTGACTTTTGTCTAATTCAACATTTGGAGATTGATCCATATGTGCTTTATAATATATTTAATGTAGTAATGTAGAAAAAAACATGTAGTCTTGTCTAAACTTGTCAAAATGGAAATAATCTCATTGGATCTAATCTCTCAGATTATAACTTCACGTGTTCCACATAGATCCACTTACTAATTTCTGACGAAATAATTTCTGACGATCTGAGGTTAACTTTGTTGTCACCTCCTGTTTGTCCAGATGAGGGAGCTCCACTCTCTGGGCTTCAAAGAAGTCGCTCAGTGTGAGGAGGCACTGCGACAAAGCGCAGGTGAAGTTAAAGGAGCGTTGTCTTTACTTCAGCGCCCTCTGCTGGAACCTTTCCACCAGCGTATATGGAGCGAACAGGTTGAGCCACCTATTGATCCAAAACACCAAGACAAACAGGTGCTGAGTCCTGGGAGCCTTAACATGTGCCAGCGTGTTTATGGCAGGGTGTGGTTTGTAATACGGACTTGTTTTTTCTTTTTACTCTTTGTTTTGTCTACAGAGAATGTGCCGGCGTCTGCTGGCCCTGTACAACCTGCCCAGCTGGGGTCGGTGTGAGCTGGTGCTGTCTCTGCTACAGGAGCCTGACGTCTCCTACTCACTGGAGGACGTGGTTCAAGCTGTGAAGGAGTCACCTGACAAAGAGTTCATTAAACGTCTTCTTAACAACGAGTGTCCCTGCTGTCTGGACATCTTCCCACGTGGGAAGGTGAGTCAGTTGGCGACTCAGAGGGATTTTTATTCAAGCCTCAGCTGTGGGCTATGTTGTCATACCCTTAGACTTCAGACTGTTGAAAACATGCCTGCCGGGACGGTGACTCAAAATTTACCCTGTAAAATGAGACTTGCACAATAGGTTCTGCATGAGACAAGTTCTAGAGCATTTTAGGAGAACGCTTTAACTTTTGTCTAAAGTGAAGTAGCTCACCCTCCTCCCCGTGCCCCCCATTTTCACACATTTGTCATTATTTGTGATGTCTTCTTGTTCGTGTTCTAGATGCAGTCCCTGACTTCCTGTCAGTGCTCCGTGTGTCAGGAGTGCTTCACGCAGCACTTCACTATTGCGGTGAGAGACAAACACATCAGAGACATGGTTTGTCCTGTCTGTTCAGAGCCGGACATCAATGACCCAGAACAGCTGGACAGTTACTTCTCCACCCTGGACATACAGGTCGGAGAAACAACTGCAATAATTCTTTAAAAAAACAGGTTAAAAAAAGAATGAAAAAGAGCTGAAATGATCAGTACATGTGACAGAAGGACTTATTTTTATTTTTTTCTGCAGCTGAGGGAGTGTCTGGAGTCTGACGTCTTTGAGCTGTTTCATAAAAAACTAACAGAACACGCTCTGATGAAGGACCCAAAGTTCCTCTGGTGCTGTCATGTAAGTTCACTCACTTTTCTGTTTTTTAAGCTGTTGTTTCTGGAAGGTTTTTAAATGTTTTAAATCAAACACATTTTCAGCAGTTCTTCAGTTTTCTTCGTATGCCCTGGTTTTCTTTCAGTGCACCTCTGGATTTATCAACGACGGAAATCAGCTGAAGGTCACGTGCCCCTACTGCCGACAGAGCTTTTGCACTCAGTGTAAAAAGCCTGTGAGTGTTTTTATTCATTTAGCCAATGTGGTGCTAAAGCCACGACTCCATTATGTACCAGTGCCTCACACCTCTTTGTTCGTTGCTCTTGTCGTTGGTTCAGTTTTTTAAGACATTTATTGAATATTTAGTTTACGTTTATCAGATTAACACCACTTTTAACTAGGGGTGTCCGATATGCAGATATGGTCCAAACTCTTCATTTCTGATTCCAATATCAACCGATATGGATATATGCAGCCGTTTGCCCCAAATTTGGCAAAACCCAGGCATTGTGTTGTCGCTAAGGATCCTACCGATATTACATAACTATGCTAATTTCAGGCCGATAATATCGGCAGACTGATATTATCAGACATCACTATTTTTAATGTAAATGTGTGGTTTTTAGTTGTTGTCCTGACGTTTGACTTCTCTTTGTCTCCGTCTGGTCCCAGTGGGAGCCTCAGCACCAGGATCTGACCTGTGAACAGTTCCAGCAGTGGAAGAGAGACAACGATCCAGAATACCAGAGACAGGGTTTGGCTGGTTACCTGAGAGACAATGGCATCAGTAAGGCTTCATTACAAATGAGTCCTTAAAACGGAAAATCACAAATGGAGAAAATCCTAAACACAACAATGTTTTACGCGATCATTCAAGGCTTCTTCAGGGACAAGTAGTGAAAACACACTGTTGAACTCCGAAATAATTTATTTTTGATTTGCTCCTTAAAATGTCAAAACGTCTCAAATACATTAGGATTTTTTTTTGTAATAAAAAAGACAAATATGGTGTCCTCACGTCTTTCTTTGCAGCCTGTCCTCACTGCAGGTTCCAGTACGCTCTGACCAAAGGTGGCTGCATGCACTTCAGCTGCTCTCAGTGCAGGTACCAGTTCTGCAGTGGCTGCAACAACCCCTACCACAAGGTGCGTTCACCCAGAGATGGCAGAGAAGTTTTTTTTTCTATGAAGAGCAGCTCCTGGATCAGTAGTTTGAATTATTAATTAAGGTGCATTGTAATTCAGGTTAATTAATAAAATACAATAGACGTATTGGATTTTTTAAAATTTATTATTTATTACTTATTTATTATTTTCTTCATTTTTAACATCATTTCTTCATACTTTTCTTCATCCTCTGTACTGCCATCTGTGCCACTTTGGGACATCTGTGCTAGAGCTGCTAAGCTAATTTTGTTGCTCTGTACTCCTGTACTTCTGTTCTGTTCTAGCTGCTTCTTCTCACTCTGTGTGTGCAGTAATTACAGAATACTTATTTCTTATCTGCTCCCCCTACAGACGGTGTGTAGGACTCCACAGTGTAATCACACAGGTCTGCACGCTCATCACCCTCGAGATTGTCTCTTCTATCTAAGAGACTGGGAGCCACTCAGGTTACAGACACTGCTGCAGGTACTGTACAGACGGCAGCACCTGAAAAACACTGTCTAAATCTCTGTATTTATGTATTTATCTCTGGATAAAAACAAACAAAAATGCAATGACATGTTTTCTTCATGTATTTATTTTCCCTCTTCAGAAATGTGGTGTGGAGTTTAACACAGATCCCTTGAACGCAGCTCAAAATGGTAACATTTTCCTTTTATGCTCTGACTTTTTAAAAACAGTTTAAAAACATTTCACAAAGAATTCATATTCAGTTGAATAGTTGTCTAAATTATACAGACTTTTCACTGCAATTCTTTGGTATTTCTTTTAATTCTCTTCATCATGTACTTTCACCAATATATTGCCACTTGTAAACATTTTGACTTTTGATTATTTTCTACAAATATCCAGGATTTTGTTGCTACTGTACATGTAACAGTTAGTTATATATTATATTGTGTCTTAAAGACGTTTGTTTGTATCGGAATAATAGTGTGTTTGAAACGTTTGTGTGTGGACGTAGCGGAGGCCTGTGGAGTAATGGAGCAGAAAGATGAGGGAGGGCAGCAGGAAGATTCTCCATGTGGTGGCCAGACTCAGCCTGGACAAGCTGGACTCTGCGAGTGAGTTTCTGACCTCCACTGAATTGACTGTAATATATAAAAATGTATAATGTTTTAAAGCATATTTGTGTGTGTGTTTGGGGGCAGAAAACACTACAAAGAATACCTGGTGAGTCTGATCAACGCTCACACCCTGGACCCAGCTCTCCTCTACGACAATCAGGAGCTGAATCGTGCCTGCGAGAGATACCAGGTGACGCTGCAGAGAGTGGACAACGAGGCAGATGATGCTTACTACCCACGACTGCGCAAGGTCTGACATCGCTTTTTTTTTTTAAAGCTCTTTAAACTGTTTGAACAAAAAGGTATTGGAATGTATTCAAGTCAAAAGGAAAATGACAAAGATTATTCAGGAAATCCCAAAATTTGTCAAATTTAAAATCTTAAAAAAGATTAGACACTACAGAATGATCTGGAGAGACGTTACAAAAAATGTCAGAAAATGAAGAACAGAGAATGGTCCCAAAAATATGTAAGACTGCTGAAGAGTCACGAAAACATCATTGTGTTTAGATTTTTATGTTCAAACCGTGTTTAGGTTTTAAACTTCTTTTTTTTTTCTTCTTCTAAATGTTCTGACAGAAACTGATGGAGTTCCCTCTTGGAGAAAGAGTTCCTCGTAACAAGTGAAGAAATCCCTGAACTTCACTGGAAATTCTTTATTACAGTGATGTAATTTAGTGCATAGGCCATAAAGTGAACGGTGATTTTCTTTAATTATCAGAGAAACAAAAAGATGAAGGAGACAATCAGTTTTCTCTGTACTATATAGAAGTTCATTCTTATGTCGAAATGTTGCGTTCAAATCAAAAATGCTCAAAATCTTCTGGTTCACATAAACACTTAAATTACAAAATACTAAGCAAAATGTTCTAAATAAATGTGTTTACCTTTAAGTTACATGTGTAGTGAAATTGGTAAATTTAAGTTTTTAAACTGGAGGATGACATAGTTGAAAAACGAAAAACTTTAATATTCTTCAATATTTTTTTTTCTCATCAGTGAAGCAACAGCTCAACACAAACAATGACTCAAGACCTAGGATATAAAGCCACTACTTGCGTTTAATTGAATTAGCGTACACAATGTGAAGTAGTATTTTTTTTACTCTACAGTAAAAGAAATATACTAACACTGTCCCTTCACTTTCACGGTTATGTGAAAATCATTCAAATTCAAATCATTCTCGCACTTCTCTCTGTCCGTTGTCGTCCTCTTGTGGCCAAATGGTGCTCAGATTTCTGAATGTCACGTGATTTCTGTGAAAAGGCGCGTCTGAGAAAGCGCTTGAGAGAGACACAGAGAGACACAGAGAGAGAGAGAGAGAGATAGATAAGCAGCGTCACAGAGAGAGAGTCAGTCATATTGAGTTCAGTCTTTCAGTAACAACCGGAGCAGACAAGAGCGGAGAAATTAAGGTAAAGCCATTTTCGAACTTTTCTTGCTCTATATTTTTATTCATATGTCAACTTTGGACTTTTGTATTGTTGTTTAACGTCAACCAGACCTCATGTAGAATTCTGTGTTGATATGTGGTGCCTTCCTGTGCAGACATTTGGCGAAGTGTTCAATGGCTGTTGTAATTAAAATACAGCTTAAAGACTTAATACGAAAACAGTACAATTGGCCACAGTTTTGTATTAATAGCGTAGTTTGTTTAGATACAACAGCTACGGCGAAACAGAAAGTATCTCTAAACTGACGTGTAAGGACTATTGACTAGATCACACTGACCAACGACGGCGTTTTATTGTGTTGTGTTTAATTGTCTGTCTGGTTTTTAAACGGTCACAGATTCCTATGGCAGCAGGAAGAATGCGCTGCACGCGCAGACTGCGCTCCTGGATCGTCGAACAGGTGAGTGTTTGTTTTGGGGTTGGTATGACAAATGAGGTTCATGTTGTGATCAGTTGTACGTGATGATTTAGAGCAGGGGTCACCAACCTTTGTGAAACTGAGAGCTACTTCAAGGGAACTTAGTAATACAGAGAGCTGCTTGTTAAATACCGTCTTCATAAACAATGTAATACTAATAATAGGTTCTGGGACATACCATAGCAGACACTCTTCTTCACTGCAGGTGTAACTGATTCAAAATCCACTGTTGCAGTACATTTTTTTGACCCTCTCTTGTTGACTAGTTTTAGATCTTACCCTGCAGGCACCTCAGGTGGTCTACGTTGGTGGAAGCTGATTTAGAGATATTAGCATGTATTTCATTTATTTCTGTAGTGCTTGGAATTGTCAGCTTGGATTTGTTTAGTTGAGATAGTGAGTGTGTGAACCCCCTGTGTGTTTTTATTAGCTCTATATTTCTTCTTTATGTTCCCTAGGTGTCTGTTTGACTGGTTTGTAGTTCCATTACTGACCCTAGGTTAGGGGGCATAGGTCAAAGGTCTTGGGGGGGTAGGAGGATGTCTTGCAAGCTTGAGCTAAAACATAGATTTGGCACAAAAAAAAAAAAAAAAAAAATATCTCATAGATTTGGCAAAAAAAAAAAATAAATTTGCTAAAACACGTATAAAAGCCAGTCACGATGTACAGTACTAAGTTTACCTAAAAAATTAATGGTTAATCTATGGCAAGAAGGTTAACCAGATAAGGCAAGGTGAAACTAAGTGTCAGCCAACGTAAATAACACGTAGTCCTCTGAGGAACACACAACCGCTGCAGCAACGGAAGGCCATTCTTTTAAATCTTTTGCTGTGGAAAGCTGAGAGACGTGAAGCTAAAACTAAACAAAAACAACTCTTTGTTTGGTAAATGTGTATGTAAACTATGTGTAAAACTAGTTCACGGCGAGCTTAACGTCAGCCGACAACATTTGTTTCTTTGTTATTAATACCAAACGTTCAAACAAAACATCTGTGTCTCGCTGAGTGAACGAGTGTGTGGGCGTTGGTGTAGTAGTGGGTGACGAGAGTTTGGAGGAGGGAGTGTGTGAGGGGGGAGAGAAGGAAAGACAAAGTCGAACATAAGGACCACTCTTTCATCTGCTGCTCATCAATTCATTGTTTTAACATCACAGTTGACAGGAAGTGTTCGTCTACTGCCGCCTCTCTATATGGGTGAAAGTGTTACTTTACTCAGAAGTACGGATTGACCACACGAGGCAGCAGTAGGCCAGCTATTCATGTGTCTCTTAAAGACACAGTAACCCATTTCCTCAGTATATTTCCCAAACACATTATTCACTGAATAAAACCTCACTTTTACTGGAAGAAAAGTTTTACTTGTCAGTATGTTTGTACAAGTGTGTATTTGGGTTTTATTTATTTAATGTTTTGTGTGTTTTCCGTAGGTGAGCAGTGGTAAATATCCTGGACTTCAGTGGGATGACGAGGACAAAACCATGTTTCGAATCCCATGGAAGCACGCGGGGAAGCAGGACTTTCGCAAAGATGAGGATGCTGCCATCTTCAAGGTTGTGCTGACATTTTAGATTGAGGCCAAATCCCAGTCGAGTAAATCTGTGTCCACATGTTGAGCAGGCCTTGACGGTAACACCTGTGTCCTACTACTACCTACTGCACAGGCCTGGGCTGAGTTCAAAGGGAAGCTGAGGGACGGAGTTCCAGACAATCCTGCATCCTGGAAAACACGTCTGCGCTGTGCACTGAACAAAAGCCCGGAGTTTAAGGAGGTGACGGACCGAGGTCAGCTGGACATCTCAGAGCCGTACAAAGTTTATCGTCTGATCCCCATCAGTGAGCAGGGTGAGACTGACACACACACACACACACACACACACATCGGGCAGGTTTGGATTGTGTTTCCTTCAGAGAACTCCTTCTCATCTTACTTCTTTGACTCTTACAGCGTTCCTTTCAAACGCTCTGATGTAAAAAGATGGTGATGATGTAAAGACCTGTTGTTTTCTTGACAGTCTTTGCCTCAGTGGGATGAAAGAAAAAACACTTAATAACAGCAGAATAAAACGGCAAACCTCTTCTTGTAACGTCATCGTATCAATGGTTGTTTGAGTTGAGCTTTATTTAGTGAAGTGGTTCAAACCGGTGAAAAGTCAAGTGCACTGACACACACACACAGTGTAAAAAACCTTGTTGACACACAGTTGTACACAATAGGACAAAAGTGTTTTCTTGTTCTTTGACTTTGAACGAGATTGAACGGGATTAAAGTCTCAAGTTGTTTTGTTTGTTTTTTAAACTCTTCCTGATTCAGAAACAGGTTCTTAAATCTATTTATAAATGCCATTTCTAAAGAAAAATGTATTCACTCAAATGAAGAGTGAATACGTTTTGAAAATGTTGACCAAGTTGAGTCTGGAGGATGGAGCAGTAACAGAGCATCAGTCTGAATGTTAGGGTTAAGGTTCGTGGGTCTCAGTCTCTGCCCCCCTTCATCCTCCCTTCAGCAGGTGGGCTCCTTCAAACTGTGTTTCTTGTTGCTGATTGGCCGCTGTGTTGCACTAAATCTTGGGCGAGGGGAGTCTTTCCATCACATCAGATAACAACGACCTTGATGACCCCTCCTTTAAATTCCACTCAAGTCTTTGTGTCATGTGATATCTTTTTCTCACATAATCATATGAGAGAACAAGTCAACCAGAGCACTTCATCTAATTGTAATACATTACAGACACACTCAGAGGTTTCCACACACACACACACACACACACACATATATAAAGTATTACATTTCAGACTTCACCACATCGGCCTGTTGTTTCCTGTTGCTTCCTCAGCTGTTTCTGACTCACTCTCTGTCTCTCCTTAACAACCGGATGTACAGTCAAAGCTTCCTCTTGTCAAACAGTGTTTTTACAGTGTGTTTTTCTCAAGGATAAGCCGTGGTTCTCTGCAGGGCTGCAGGGTTCAGAAGAGGGAAAACTGCAGCAGATGAATTCCACTGACTGTGTTCACAGACTGATCTCAGGACAGTGGAGGAGAGCAGCAGTGCACACACTCTGACCACGCTCCCTGGTTCTGTCTGTTTGTCTTCAGGGTTGTTGTTGCCGGAGAAGAAGAGCAAGGACAAAAGGAACAGTAGGCAATTGAAGAGGAGGAGGAGGAGGAGGAGCAGCAGCAGCAGCTGCGACTCAGAGAGCGAGGAGGTCTCTGCCGTCAAGCACATAAAGAAGGAGGAGACAGAGGAGGAGCAGGAGATGACGGTGACGCCACAGCTGGTGAGTCAGAGTGAGACTATTTGCTGGGTTTCATGCTGTGGAGATCTGCAAAGATGGAGGAGACCAGTAAAAAAAAAACATTACCATGTTACAATGTTACCATTTTTAATTGTAACATTAAGCGTAATTTACCAATAACCCAAGCTTAACCTATTAGCATTAGCTAAAAGTTAGTTAAAGATACGGCACAAACTTAGTCATTAAACATAATTCATGTGAAAAAATAAATAAAAAAACTATTAAAAAAGGTGCTGACTAAATTAAATGGGATAATCAGCTGTAATTTCAAGAGAAATAAAACAGGATTTAGTTAGCTTAGCCACAGATCATGCTTAGCCACAGATCATGTTTAGCCACAGATCATGCTTAGCCACAGATCATGTTTAGCCACAGATCATGTTTAGCCACAGATCATGCTTAGCCACAGATCATGCTTGGCCAGAGAAACATTAATCATAATGGAGTTAAAGTTGTTCAGGTTGTTGTCGTCTGACCTGGTCTGCGTGTGTGTGTGTGTCTGTCAGTGTGTGGTCAACTCTCTGCTGCAGGACAACATCAGTGTCCAGGTGGAGGAGACAGTTCTTCACAGCACCACCTCCATCCAGGGAGAAAGTGAGTTTATCTTCACGCAGCCTCAGATTATAATCCAGGCAGAGGGTCTTCAGGAAAACTACATTTAGGGTCCCACCTGTGACCCCTGCTGGCAGGATATCTGTCATTGGCTCTTCTTCCATTTCTTCCTCATCAGTGTTTCTATTGTCTCCCGTTGTGTCTCTGCAGCGGTGGATGAGATCACGCTGGACGTTCGTATCCAGGAGAACCTCCCCCAAGATGGTAGACTCTCAGGAGCTAAATGTTTTTCTTAACTAACTTTTAGATATCTATGGGCTAATTTGAGCAATGTTTAACATTAGTGTTTTACATCAAATCTTATTTTATATTTTTATAATTCTTTTTTAATCTCTTCTAAACTGTTCCATCTCTTCTCCAGTTCAGGATTCCTTCAACGTCGCGGTCCTTTATTTGGGACAGGAAGTCCTCAGACGCCACGTCCAGGGTAAAGATGTACGAATTAAGTATCTGCCGTCGTCCTTGGTGCCTCCTACGCCCTCTGTCCTGAAGGACCGATTCCCTCCCATCCACCTGCCGGAGCCCCCGTCGACGCTGCCTGCGGGTGAGGAGCTGCAGGGGCTGCACACGCTTCTGCCCTTCATGGAGAAAGGAGTGGTCCTCACCTCCACGCACAAGGGGGTCTACGCCAAAAGGTACTGCCAGGGACGAGTCTTCTGGACCGGACCGCACACAAACACAGACAATAACATCGGTACCAGCACTGTGGGACTCCAGAAGATGGAGAGGAACACGGAGCCAGTGCTGCTGTTCAGCAGAGACGCTTTCAAACAACGTAAGTCTGAGTCGTCACAGGTACAAATATGAAACACGTGATTTTGATGAAATGTTAATGATGAAATCCTAAGAATATAAAAAATAGCATGTAGGTGAAGAAAAGCAGTCATACATCAGCTGGTTGTCAAAGGATCTGTGTGTTCTGTACCCGCAGAACTGGACCAGTTCTATTCACAGGGAGGTGAACCTCCTGAGTGTGGTGTCACGCTGTGTTTTGGAGAAGAACTGAGTAACAACGAGGACTTGTCCAAAAAACTCATCATTGTTAAGGTAAGACATATATATATATATATACAAATACATTTACACATATGTGTGTGTGTACATACATACTGTATGTATACACACACATTTTTACAAAAATGTAAAAACCTGCATGTGTGTGTGTGTAGATCACATTTCCGTGGGCGGAGCAGAAGCTGCAGGAAACTCAGTCTGTCTTGCAGTCCATCAACTTCCTTCAGTCTCTGGCCAGTCAGTCTCCAATAGGGGAAATTACCCTGGAACTGATCACACTTTAAGGACTTTAACATAAGAAACTGGACTCTCTGCACATGTTGGATTTACAACCTAACAGCAGCAACACCCAGTGTAAAGTCTGCTCACACACACACACACACACACACACACACACACACAGTCATTATCATTGTGACCAAATATAGTAAAAAAAACAAAACAAAAGAATAATCAACATAAAGGTAGTCATTGTGACCAAATATAGTAAAAAACAAACAAACAAAAGAATAATCAACATAAAGGTAGCAATCATTTATCTTTTCTTTTTTTTTTTAACTTGAAACAAGTGTCTCAGTGATGAGATTGTGTTCGGTCGTCGTCACAGTTCAAAAATCTCCAACTATGTTCAGCTTCAGTCTTAGCCGAGTCTGTGTCTTTTCAAAAAAAGTCTTTTCCCTGGAATCGATTTTCTGAAGCACTACATGTTTAAAAAGAAAACACTGAGACGTCGTCTTTACTGTGTAAAATGTAAAGTTTGATATTTTTTTTTTTGTTTTTTTTTGCTCTCATAGGTTTTAGCTTGTTTTCAACAAAGTCACAACCCAATATTAAAAATGTTTTTCAGGAAAATATAAAGAACATTTAAAAACTAAAATCCAACCTCGAGCTGCGACAACTAATTACATTTTAAATACAACTGATGTACTTTTAAAAAGACATTTAAAAGTTGTATATTTGCTATTTTGTTCCAGCAGAGTCAACTTGACAAAAAACTCGCTGAGCCTAAAATGGCTTCTACAAAGGTGCACCCGTTAAAACAGGGAAACTGCCAAAATGTATTGGAAAATAATTTGCGATGCATAGGTAGTAAAAAAAAAATTGATTTGATTCACGCAATATATACTCAGTAATTAGCCGAATAAAAGTAGCTAAATAAAAAGCCAATATGCAATATATACTCAGTAATTATAATAAAATAAAAGTAGCTAAATAAAAAGCCAATTAGAAGTGATAATAAATCAATATAAATGAAGGTAATGGTGAGCTACCAAAAATGCTTACGTCAACTCACTGATTAAATTGAACAGTGGCTAGAACTTTTCCTAAAAGCCTAATGTTAGCAAATGGTTAGAATATATACACTATAAACTTTTCTCTAAGTTAAAACTTAGCATATAATTCACAAAGATTTATGAAAGTTGGCTCAGAATTACCATGTTTTTTTTAACCTGTTTTTCATCAAGGAAAACACATTGAATGTGTTGATGACAAAGATTAGTAAATGCAGCTGGATTTTGTTGAAACAGTTCAGGATTCAGAGAGGTTTAAACCTCACGTGCAGTAGATTCAGTTTTGTTTTTACACTTGTTGCTAATGCTTTTTCCTCAGTGTTGGACAACATAAAAACATCCACAACGCCAGTGCCACGTCTAATGACATCAAATAGCAGATGAAAATTAATAGTCAATAGGGTACTCTAAATGTTAGCCAAAAACAATGATTCTTTGATAGACTTTTGCTTCAAGATTGCATCATTTCCTGCAGGCCCGCACTTTTTTTTCCTCCCTGCACTTTAAACAGTCTCTTGTATTTTGCTTACTTCCTCTGCTACAGCTACTGCTTTTTTACAGTTTAGCATCATGTGAAAACAGCACTAAAAGTATTTTGTGCGTTATAAAAAATTCAATTTGTATTGTGTATGTATGTATTCCAGAAGCTGAGTAGGAAATGAAGAAATCACGGTGTTTGTTGCTTGAGATGTAAATATTGTATTATTTAAGCAAGTTCTGTTCTGTAGCATTAAAGTTGTTTTCTGTTTAATGTTATTAATAAAGGTAACTAAGAACTCATAAAGTGGACTCAGAATAGGAATATATGGGACTGATAGACACTGTGTAAGAAGTGGATATTTTCCTGGAAAACTTCCTGGAGCAAAATACAAGAACGAAAAAACAAAACAAAACACTGCTCTAAATTCCATCGAGGAATTCCACAGAACACAATTATAAATACCATGCTGCCCACTTGTGGCTATTTTTTGCAACAATAGTGTTTTTGTTACACATTTGACACAATCTAAACAAATTAGAACACATTTTTGGCAAAATCCTAATTTCATTTTTCTAATGTCATTTTTGGTGATATGTTGAAAAACTTTTTTAAAAATTGTATCTTTCTAGTAAGGCATGCTTTTTGGACTTT